TTGTTAACCGTTACTTATTAAGTTACTACTAATTAAGTTATAGTCTATAGTACTTTACTACTAAAACGTAACTTAGTATGTCTAGTAGTCTACCTCCTACGTATATATATATATATATATATATATATATATATATAATATTGTAGCTTATGCTCCCTTCCCCTGCTTTGAATACAATTAAATCTTGAAATCTACTGCATTCTGGGGATGTTATAAAACAAGATGATTAGGGGTTGAGACATTGCATTCATTTGCAAATGTTTGTCTTTCTAGTCTTAAGTATTTCTTCTCCATTTTCATGTTATCCTACAATTATTTCTACTTTAGGAAGTTTTTTTTTTTCACTTAAACTACCTTTATTTTCATATACTCTTACATATTTTAACAAATTCATATCTTTTACTAACATTTTAAAGCAGAAAAAAGTCGTAGTGCTTTCAAAATATAGACCCTTTTTTACATCATAGGAAAAGGGAGAATGAGATCATAAGAGTAAAGTATGGACATAAATTGAAAAACAGGAAGTTAGTTGAATTAGCCAGGTCTTGGCCAAAGTCACATGTTAACAATATAAGAATGGATCATTTTAATGTATTGTTACGTCTCCGTTCGTTAGTTAATTTTCCGCAAATTCGTTCCGACGAAACTTTAGCGACACAAGTCCTTTCTTAAATAAAACTGGTTTATTCTTTCTGAATATAACTTTGCGATACACTTAATTTCAACAGTCGCGCTATAACAAATGCTATAATTCTCAACGAACGTCTCACGTGCTCGACTCAACAATACTCAGTTCAATTACACATTGTTCCGTCACGTTGTGACCGTCTTATATATACAAGACTAACGCATATCTAGTAAATGCTAGAGCATTCATGAAGGAACAGGATATTTTTAGAAGTCAATGACGTGTTACTAGCATCACGTGATTTCCGCTGGTGTAACAGTATCATGAAATATAATCAATTTGAAAATTAAAGATAAAATTTGAAAAAACAGAGAACTGTTTATTAATATTATTTAATTGTTTCATTTGTACATATTTATTTACTATTAGTTTTTTTTTTTTACTCAATACAAAGCAAAAAAGATGAAATGGTACAAAATTAAATATATACTCTGGTCCATAACCACTCAGCAAGACTAAATGTTTTACAACTTATATCCATCCTTACACTCCACAACATAATTCAGCTTTGCCCTCTTTATGAAAATAGTTCCATTGATCAAAAATGTAATTATTTTATCAGAAGTTTCTGAATGTGATCTATTAATATTTTTATCCTATATGTTTTTACTATCACAAATTCTACCTGTATTTATTTATTATTCTTATTTTCCAGCAACATTTGTAGACAACTCTTTTTTATTTGTAATTTACCCTTAACTTTTTTTATATAAAAGATGTTAGCTGAGAGTTAAACATCTTTCAATGGTTGAATCAAGTTCCAAAACTGCACTTAAAAAGATGAAAATAACAAAAAAAAAGATTATTTAACCATTACAAAAAAGCATTTCATCTGCATATGAGATCTTGATACAAACATTTTTGTTTTACAACTATATCAAAGGTAAGATACCTGCCGTGTTATTCTGTAATTTACTGAATAAAAAGAATATTCATGCATTACTAAGAGCTACTAAAAATGTGCATTAACATAGTGTAGGTCATTGTCTTAGTCAAGATATGTTTCTTTAAATTTTAATTCTTTTCTTAAAGAAGAATACTATTTATAGAAAAGTCTAGCAAAATAAGAACGTTTTGAAGTTACATTTGCAGAACACTTTAAGATAAGCAAAATACTTACTTCTTTTTGAATTGCATCAATAAGGTTCTGGAAATTTGCATTATCTCTGTAATTCTCGACAAGTTTTTGAGACAATCCTTGGTTAATCCAATCTGTTAACGTGTTTGGAAAAACAAAGGCCAAAGTACCAAGAACAAGTTCTCCCAAGAAAAGTATTAACAGAAGGAATGAATACTGGAATAAACAAACAATATTATTGTGATAAAGTTAAACGTATTTAAAAAAAAGTATAATCAACTATTACAATTTTCTATATAAATTACACTGTCAGATATAAATCTAGACAATAACAAACATAAAATTCATGATCTACAGTAATGATACAATATGAATGCCTAGGGCTTATAGCCCATTTTTCCACCACTGATGTTGTTATATGTAATTATCCTGGTTAGAGACCTCTTTACAAGCTTTCTGAAGGCCATCAACCATGCAAAACAATGACTTTTTAGGACACATTTGAGCAAAACAAAGGTATAAAAGTCTACAATATCAGTGGATGGAGTGAGAACTAAGTATTCCTCCTCAAACCTATCAGCCATCAAGGAAGTAGCAGGCTCAAAAGCAATCAAAGAAAGACCCAAACATCACACACTCAATTGAACATCTGAAGAAAAAGAGTCAGAGTCAGATGATCTTAATGTGGCCTCCTGAGAAACTGACAGAACAAAGGAAGGCACAGGAAAAAGAAAGTCTAAATTCTCTCCAGAATGTCCAGGATCACCCTCAAATGCATCCATCTTATATGTCTCCATCTCACCACGAAGAAGGTCTCTGAAGTTTCAAACGAGAGTGACCCCCCTATCCCCACCCAACTATTGAATGGTGCTAGATATCAGATGTAGAATAGGAGAAACCTGATCTGCCTCCATGTCAGAAATGATAATCCAAGAATTTGTGCTGAATATTGGTGTACCAAACAAAGAAACAAATTTTTTTAAAACAAAAATCAACTCAGTAACACAAATAATGCTCAAAGTATCTCCAACAGTCATAATACAAAGAAAACCCATTCATGAAAGCTTTGTCAAGAAAAAGTGATGATATAATCGGAAGAAGGTGCTTATACATAGTACCAAGATAGAAGGTGCATTGATGTCGGTGGAGTGTGTCATGGGACATATTGCCAAGGGCAATTAAGTGGGGAATAAAAGATTGGAGCAAACAAGTAAAAATCAGACCAATGAGTAAATGAAGAAATCCCAGCAGTTGAGTAATAGTTGTAGTGTGAGAAGAGGTATGTATGGAAAGCCAATTTTAAAATAATCAAAAATTGTTGAAATATTTAGAATTAATTGATGGCAAAAACTATAAAAGCCAGAGGAAACCTATATTCAATTAGCTAACTGGCAGTGAAGATCAAGGGCAAGTTCACTTACAGTTACTGCATGAATCACCAAAAATAACCACTCAGCTTGTTAATTTTAAAAAGGCATATTTTTATTCCTGCAACTAATCTCCAATTTCCCCAGTTAGTCCCCGGGGAACATAAAAATTAGAAATGTGCTTGAACAATGGTATGTACCAAACAAAATCCTAAATAAAAACAGCCAAATTTAGTAAACTTGACTTTTAAACTAAAAGGAGTAGAAAACATGTACAACCCAGTACTACACTGGTACATGTTAGGAATATATGTGTATATCACCACAAAATTGCACCTACCATTGAAATTACAATTAAATTGATTAATGTTATGAAAATAATCAATTAATCAAATTAGTTCCAATTACTTACAGTTTTAAAATATTCCAACTATCCAAGTAATTGAAATATTGCCAAAATACTTATTTGTTGTTAAGCATAGCTACATAATTTGTGTGTGGTGTGACAGTGGGAGGGGCTCATGATTAGGATTGCTTGTCATTAATTTTGAACTGCTGACTAGAGGGAAGTCAGTTAGATGGCAGCACTCACCACCAACTTTCTGGCTTAAGTGTAAAATTACTGTTTTTTTTAGTGTTATGTTTCTAATTTATAATTGGGTAACTATTAATTAACATCATATAAGCAGGCGTGAATCTAGGGGAAAGATCCAAGGAATATGGACTGCATCATTAATTTTTCCCCAGACAATCTATTTTATTAATGTTGTATAAGGGGATGAAAATTTAGGGGGAGTTAATGTGTCCAGCCCCCCCCCCCCCATTCTTATAAAATTTGGAAACAGGCATCCTGTTTACCAATACTATACTTTTTTTCTAAATATTTAACTATTTAGTTTCACTTAAAAAGTTTGGAATGTTTGTTTCTAACCATTTTATTCTCATATTGATAACATTATTAGAAATAAAGATATCATCTTTGAAATCACTGTATTATAATTATGTTATCTACTAACATTATTTTAGCTTTGTATAACTTATTTAGATTAATTTGGACTATATAGTTAACTCTGGTTTATCCGAAACACTATCATTTTACAATGTGAAATTGAAACATTACTAGAACCTAGCATGGAGAAATTAAACAAAATAACACTATAATTCTATATTACCTGAATGAACTTTCTTTACTTTATCTTATTCATCCCATAATGTTTTTTTTAACTTTCATATCTTAAAAAAGTTAAAGCTATCAAAGTTTTATTTCACAAAATGAATTGATATTATTATAATTTTTATTCTGTCTTTTCATATCAGACAAATTTCAGTCAATTTTGTAGAGTCAATATTTTGTAATATTTTAATGTGAAAAAAGTTGCAAAGAGTTCTGTCTATAAACAAGACATTCCATTTGTCTTTTTTCCTCAACACATTGCAAAAAACAACAACAAAAAATTAACTGAAAACATAACACCCCTTGAGAATATATTATCCATTTCTAGATTTTCTAAGGTTTCCTTTAGTTTTGGTGTAGAATTTGGTTGAAACCTTATTATGGTTCCATGTCAAGTGGTTTGATCAATTACTAATGAAACACAATTAAATACAATTCTGTAGAGCAAGAATTAGATTATCATGTAATATTAGAATATATAGGTTTAAGAGTTTGTATTTTTTATAGTTCCTGTAAACATTCCTTTCAGTTCCAATTGTTAGTGAATTATGAAAGTACTTGTTTGATAAATTATATCTGTTTGAAGGCTACAGAAATTTTCTTCACTGAGACAAACTTATACATCTCGAGATAGGTAAACCTATACAGTTTAAACACACAGATTGAATGGGTAACAAAAGAAACTTTATTAGAAGTTTAACACAATAACATTTGCTCTACCTGAAAATGTATTTCAGTCATTTACTTACCTCTATGAACCTCTAAAAATGATTATTTCATTTAAAACTGCCATGGAATTTCCTGCACATACTACAAGGATCAAACAAACTCCTACCCCTACACACAATGATGCAGACATTATAAAGCTATAGCCCTCTACCAATAGCAGGGTGACAAAACCTTCATTTTCAGTAATCCCATGAGCACTAGCACACAATCATAGGCTCATTCCTGACAAGACAAAAACACTAGAAGTGGGGAAGAAAGGTGGTAGAGAGAAGTTAGGTATATGAAATGCATTTTCAGGTATGGAAAATGTTAATTTCAGAAACATTATTTACCTCTCTGTACCCCTAAGAGCTAGAATCTCATATTGAAGTATTGAAGATGGTGGAGGGACTGGTGCTTAGCAATTACGAAAGATAAGCTCTGTTCTGAAATAGTGACTGAAAGGGAAGGCCCATAAGGTATGACTTCCAAGAGACTATGGGTCACCTAATATGTATGCACATAGTGGGAGGCCAGATCCTTCTCAATCAGGTAATACTCTTCACCCAATATTTTTTCTTTTTTTTTACTTGTACCAAAATAATATGAGGAAAATCCAGTGCTGCTGTTAACATTTCACCAAGATGGGCAAAACATCAGAATGTGTTGTGTGGCTAGGGTTCAGGCAATTTCATCTTAATAAAATACTACCATGAGATAAATATTATAACGACAGGTGGAGGGGAGGAGGAATCCTCACCTGTGTCCTGAGGTAAATCCAAGTCCTGTCTGGCTGAACATATTCACAGCGAAATGCTTAGGAGATAATGTAATGAAGTATCTTGTACTAAACTTCCATGTAACCCTAGTTCTCAAATAAGGGTAGACCTAAATGGTCTCTTACTGAGGGGAAGGTACAACTGTGGATTGGTTCTCCTGTGCTCCACTAGAAGAGTGAGGGAGGTTGGGGTGAAGAGGTGTAGATACATGTAGAGAAAACACCAGTGAATGCACATGGACCATTATCATGGAAGATGAAAGCCAGAGGCACATGAAACTGTCTAGTGATGTAAGCAATAAGAGATGTACTAGAAGTCTACATACTAGACTACAATATTTCTATCAAAAGACAGCATTGAAAAAGAGGCAAGAAAAACTGTGATCTGCCTAATCTGATGGGAGGTGACTTTTAAAAAGCTGTAAGTTAGACTCACCCACAAAAAGGAATATGTCAAACCCACGAGATGACAAACCCAACCAGTTAAAGTGGAATGGGGTGAGTTCCTAAAGGAGAAGGTAAACCATGGGAAAAACAGGTGATGGTGGTATCCACAAAAAGGAATATGTCAAACCCATGAGATGACAAACCCAACCAGTTAAAGTGGAATGGGGTGAGTTCCTAAAGGAGAAGGTAAACCATGGGAAAAATAGGTGATGGTGGTATCCACAAAAAGGGGTAGTCTGAGAAGAAAAGCAATGGACATCCATAACTGGACATAAAAGATTATTAGAATGATTAAATGATGAGGAAACAGAATGAAGAGGGACTGGAGAAACAACTAATTACTCTCCCAGATAGTCCAAGTTTAAAAAAAAAAGTAATAATGGAACAAATCAATAGGTCCTTATGATATAGAGAATGGGAATAGGCAAGGCATGGATGTCTGAGCAAAGATCTACAAGTAGAAGGAGAAAACAGCCAAAGGAAAAAAAAATAATGCTCGGCAACACCTGAAAGATGTGGGGGAAAAAAATCACTGTAACTGGCAATTGTTCAAACAGATGGCACAAAAATTAAAAAATCTTGTACAGCACAGGTCCCTGAACAGGTGCCTCACTGACAGGTAATGTAAGAAATAAGTAATAGAAGTGTCAGAATGGATCATAAAATAAGCCACAACTGAAACCATTGATTTTGGAAAATCTAAAAACACTTCTGACTTTCGATAATGTTGATAAGTAGAGAT